GCTCTTTCAGATGACTATACTTTAACATAAAACCATTTTCATAAAATAAATTCCTACCATCTCAACAAAAACCTGTATCTGTTCAATCCACTAAAGTTGAGGGTTCTTCCAAAAAATCCAGCTCCCCTAATTCAAAATCTTTTGACAGTCAGGATAAAGCTTTTTTAAAACAATCAAGGCCTGTCTGCCATTTCTGTAAAAAAAAAACATGGTCATGTTATGTCCATTTGTTGGGGTTTGAAAAAGAAAGAAAGAAAAGGAAGCAACACCCAGTGTGTTTGTGTCCACATACGGAAGTAGTTTCACCAGATCAACCAATGTTGTTGATGTGGCCACTGATATAGAGCCTGGTGTAATCAGGGAGGAATTTAGACCTTTTGTGTCTGTTGGTTCTGTGTCTTTGACAAATGACACTGGCAATCCCATACCAATACGTATTCTACGCGATACCAGGGCGACTCAATTATTGTTGTTAGAAGGTGTATTGCCGTTAGATTCGAGTTCTGCCACTGGTGAGTCTGTTATTGCTCAGGGTATTGAGGGTGGCTTTGTTAATGTTCCTCTTCATAATATTTATTTAGCATCAGACCTAGTTTCAAGACCAGTTGTGGTTCGGGTAAGACCTACTCTGTCAATTAAGGGTGTATCATTGTTTTTGGGAAACGATTTGGCTGGGGGAAAAGTTGTTGCCAAACGTAAAATGGTTAACGAACGTAAAATGGTTAACGAGCCAATCACTGTTTCATCTAAGAATGATGTGGTAGTTGAGGAGAATTCCCTCGTGTTCTGTAACTCGAGCTCAGGCTAAGAAATTAAGCCAAAAACAAATAATAAGCGTGGATTCACAGGATGATATTATAGATTTGTCTTAGACATTTTTGGATCCGACAGGGATGTTGTGAATGATTGTCTTACTGACACTACCTCCGTGAGTGACAACGATAGACATGAAGGATCTGATTTACCTGGTGAAGTTCCATTTACTAAAAGTAAACTGATCACTGAACAAGAAAAAGATCTGCAGATCTCTTCACTATTTAAATATGCACTCCTGAATGATGAACTGGAGAAAGTTCCAAATGGTTATTTTTCAAAAATGGTGTGTTTATGAGGAAATGGAGACCACCAGATGTGCCAGCTTCAGAAGACTGGGCTATTGTATATCAAATAGTTGTTCCCAAAGCATATCGTTCTGAAATATTGAAAGTTGCCCATGAGATTCCCTTGGGAGGTCATTCAGGTGTCAACAAGACATGTGACAAAATTATGAGAAATTTCTTTCGGGCCAAAAATTGGGCAAGACGTTTTTCAGTTTTGCAAAACTTGTCATACCTGTCAGTTGGTCGGAAAACCTAACCAGAAAATTCCTATGCTCCTTTGAAACTTATCCCTACTTTTGAAGAACGTAAGTTTTGTCCTGAGGACATGGTCTTAATATTGTTACCCACTATGGGATATCTAATCAAAAAGAAAAGAAAGAAAAAGACAAAAAGAGAGAAAAAAAGACAGAAAGAAAAAGACAGAAAGAAAGAGAGAAAGAAAAGACAGAAAGAAACAGAGATAGAAAAAGAAAAGAAAGAAATAGACAGAAAGAAAGAGAGAAAGAAAAAGAAAGAAAGAAATAGACAGAAAGAAAGAAAAAGCAGAAAGAAGGAAAGAAAAATGGAGAAAGAAAATGACAGAAAGAAACAGAAAAAAGATAGAAAAAAGAAAACACAAAAAACTTGATTGGTCCTCTTCGTACTCTAATAACCCCACAAGGCAATGTGACATGCTGTTGATGAGGTTATTGATGTAATACACCGTGATTTCATCCCAAATTGTCGTTGGAAGGCACTGCAATTCAGCTACAGTAGCTGGTTTAGGGCCGTGGTTAACAATTTTCCAGCTCAGTTCTGCTCAACAGTTCTAAATGGGATTATAATCTGGAGCATTTGCTGGCCATGACAATCTTGTAACATCCTCCTGGTCGAAATAATCCTGTACAATACGTCCACTGTGGGCAGTGGCATTGTCATCCTTAAACATGAAGTTATTGCCAAACGTTGCCCTAGCACTTGACATAAATATCGCCTCCTTATGATGCCTGTAGGAGGCGCCATTGACGTTTCCCTGGTGGATATGAAGATCAGTTTTCCACCATGAT